CTAATGTGATCTAACCTATCAGCTAGTACCAAAGAGGATCCGACCATAGTCCGACCATAAACTAAGGACATCATTCCTGAAACGGCCAAGGCCTTGGTTCAGTGTTACCATGTCTGAATCATCAGACTCGATCATGAACAGAGGGAATTTAAGGTGGAATTAATAGAAAAAAAGATGGGTGTAACCGCCAAACGAACCAGACCATATGCACGGACGGATCAACCGCCGGCTATGTCTGATACTTCGTGGTTCACACCACTCACCTTAGGTGTGCACTCTCCAGGGGCCAAGTCCTCCTTCTCCTTCCCTTTCTGTTGAGTATCCATCTCCCACGCCTTGTTTCCCACATATAAACTCTTGCATGAAAAGATAAAACACCACACTGGTTTACTTCAAACCGCTGGTCCTTCTCTCTTTTTTTTCTCTCATTATTTTTACAGTGTTTTCCCTATATGAATTGATACCATTTTTGATCCCCAAGGGTCTGTATATATAGAAGAAGGGATCAGCGAATTCCTTAGGCGAATGGCTGCCTTTTGGTCCACTAAAAAGTGTCTTGTGCCTCTTTCAACCATTCGGCTAGTAACTATCCCTTGTCAATAACTGGCCAATTTTTTTCACTTCTTCCTGGCCGAATGATAAATGTCCAACATGCCATCACCCAACCGGACCACCAATCGGCCTGATAACTGTCCGACACGATCCAGCCGGCCATGATTCCAATACTCCGTCCAGCTGAGATGAGCTGATTACCAGCTGGCCCAGCTGAGTGAATTAGTTCTCCAGCTATTTGAGCTGACCTACTTTGAGTGAGCTACCTCCGAGATTCACCTAGATGGTTGAGCTTCTTTACGGCTTCGCCTAGTTGCAATAACATTCCTCCATCTCCTTTAAATTTGTTTTCTTCTTGTTTTGGTTAAGTTCTAGCTCTCTGATCCTCTTAATCACGTTTTTAAATCATGATATGCTTGTCTTTAGGTCATATGACTTGATTGGTGTGTTTCCTGTACAGACGATTACATCTAGAATCGGGGACATGACAATAAATGTGACATTTGAATTACTCCCTCCGTTTCTTAATATATGATGTTTTGGGTTGATGCACGAAGATTAAGAAATTTACATTATTCTAAAAAGTACTTTAAAAGATATAATATTATAATCATTCAACCAATTATAAAAAAGACTGTAAAATTTTATTGGTTGAACAGTTTCCAATAAAATTAAAGTTAACCTTAAAACCTCAAAAGATACCTTAAAACTTCAAAACATCATATATTTTGAAACAACTTGAACCTTCTAAAACATCATATAATTTGAAACGGAGGGAGTATTAGATAAGTTGGGGGCATGCGCCACCAGTTAGTTTTATTAGAGCATGATTATTAATTGTCCCTAGAATATGGTCCTTAGAATTTTTAATTGTTATTTATAGATTAGGACTTTGTTAAGAACTTTAGGAAAAAACAGTGAACATTGGTGGGACTTTTTATTGGTCCTTAGGTAAAAAATTTTTTTAAATAATAAGTTGTTACAATTATAATATGAGTTAAAATCCCAATTTAAATTTAATAACACCTAATAAAAACAAAATTAATTTTAATAGAAAATTAGAAACAATTTATTACATTAAAAAAAAAATACAAACTTCGGGAAATAAAAAGTAAACTGACAACTTATTCGTAGGAACTTATAAATTATACGTTATTTTGAAAATTTCCAAATTTCACCCATATATTTTCGATCAAATCATTTTTTAGTTGTTCGTGGGTTTGTCTATTCCGAAGGCTTGTTCGACGATCCATTGTTGAGCTGATATTCGAAGGCATGCTGACTGAAAATGTATTCAGATCTTCTCTTTGTTGAAACTCATATTTGTTATACTGAGTGAATGATGATCGTTCATCTTCGACGATCATATTATGGAGTATGATACATGCTCTCATAATATATCCTATTTTCTCTTTATCCCATAATTTAGACGGATTTTTGACAACGGCAAATCTAGCTTGTAGGACTCCGAAGGCACGCTCAACATCTTTTCGAACTGATTCTTGTGTTTGAGCAAAACATGAATGCTTCTGACCTTGTGGTAGTCGGATTAAATGAATAAAAGTCACCCATTTCGGATAAATACCCTCCGTGAGATAATATGCCAAACGGTACGGATTACCATTAACATAGAAGTTCACTTCTGGCGCAATGCCGTGAATAACGTCATCAAAAACATGTGATCTATCAAGAATATTAAGATCGTTCATAGTACCGAACCCGCGAGGCTTCAACCTCAGCTTGGTCCAGCAGTATAGCAGCTTCAAACTCAGCATCGGTTTGGCTGTGGTCACTGTCTGCTGAGTCTCCTAAACCGTAGTCCTCCAAATCAGACGGCTGCGTATAGCTGTTATCCTATCCCATTGCTGCTGTAACCTGTCAAGTACATTGATTTTATTTAGTACATAGCTATAATTACAACGAAAATAATAATTACATCAATAAGCAAGCATGAAGTTTAAGTAGACAAAGATTTGCTGAAACAAACATTTTTATTTCATAAACAAAGTACATAAAGGAAGTTGAGAAGAACGTTAAGACATCAAATTCAAACAAAACAACAAGTTCGAACATCACATTAACTAAAACAACCAGCATTAACCAACTCTAAACCAGCTTTAAGAGTTTATTCTTGAAAGCTTCCTCAGCCTCGCTAAGTGGTTCCTTCTTAGCAAGGAGAGTGTCAAGAATGGCGAGCTTGGTAAGCAACTCTTTCATCGACAAATCTTTCATCTTCAGATCCCACATAGTCTTATACTCATCTGAAACCTTCCCTTTACCATTATTCTTTCTTGCTTTAGCGGCCTTCACACCTTCGGGTCGCATCTCCACGTCACCAACGTCACTAGCTTCACCAACATTGGTGCTTGAATTTTGCGAGACGGACTCACTTGTTTTTCTCTTGGAACCAGAACTCTGGTTCAGGCTCAACCATTTCTGTTCATATCTGAGGATACACCATGCATGCTCAACACTAAACTTCTGCTTCTGGTTCGCGAAGTAGATATCATGAGCCAACTTGAGGATGTTTGTCTCAGAATGTCCACTCCCGAGTTCTCTTTCAGCAGCAGAGAATGCTGCACAGAACTTGTTCGTCCAATCATTGATCTTATGCCACCTCTGCTTACAATGGTGGTGCTCTGTCTTGTCACCGCCTGCTATAGCATGAGGATTTTCTGCGTAGTACTCTCCAACTCGTTTCCAAAAGGTGCCTGACTTCTGATCAATTCCAACGACAGCATCCTTAGATGTGTTAAGCCAGGTGCTGATGAGTACCTCGTCATCAGCTGGAGTCCACTTCTTTCTCTCCCGCCGCTCCGTTGGAGGGTCTTCAGCTGGAGCTGGAGCCTCAGATTGTTGGGAACTAAAAGGGGGGATTTCCGAGGCTCCTGTGTCTATGCTACTGTAATGAAAACTTCCATGAGGAAAGTTTTCACTTTGGCTTTGAAGAAATTCTACATAACTAGAATACTGGCAACTCGGAATCCTTGGATCCATAGCAACACAAGTAAAGAGACTATCTACCACAACCAAACTTCAATACAATTAAACGACTACTGGCATGGTTTTATTAGCATGTGAAAGCTAACAAGCAATAAGTAAGAACAGCTAACTACAATCTAAATACGCCTAATCAGAAGTTATTACAACCAAACTTCAATACCATTAAAAGACTACTCAGTTTAGTTACAATCACACTACCTAAAGAAACTATCTACCACAACCAGACTTCAATACCATTAAACTACAACCCAGTTTAGTTACAATCAAACTTGTCCTCTTTACTCACTTTAGCATTAACAACTAGAGTCAAATCACTACCATTTAGACAACCACTACCAGAGTTAAACCACTAATTCTACAATAACTACTACTCCAACTTACACCGATTCTACCAATAGCATTAACTTCTTTTATTTGTTCGAGCTCTAATCTATGTTATGATGTATCAATACGAACATGGAAATAAACAACATTCAACTTATTCTTAAACATACTACAAGAACAACTCGAGCTCTACTCTACCAATCTATCATCCAATAAACCACATCAAAGATAACAAGTGGATCTCCGCCGATAAAATTTAAAACAGAAAACATTGAATCACAAGGTAAACATTGAATCATAAGACAAATCAATTAAACAATTACACTTAGATTTTATACAACGAAAATATCTACAATCTATGGTCTGAGGAAGAAATACCTTTTCGAAGGTGAGTTTTGCCGTGGAATCGGTGTCGAGGGAGTCGACGGAGCCGTTCACCGTGTGAATCACCGAGCCAATCTGGAAATCGAGAGAGAGAGATAGAAGCTTCTCGCCGTCGCCGTAGAGAGAATCGGGAACAAACACAAATGGATTTCAACAGTCAAAACGACGAACCCCTTTCCCGTATGGAGCGGTTCAATAGCAACGAGGCACGTGACAGTAAGGACGGGAGAACAAAAGTTCTTATCTTGGGACATCTAGCTTTCGTCCCTCACATTATTAACCCTTTTTAATTTATTTTTGGGCCTAAATTACATAAGAAACGGGTGGAGGGACACCGATATTCTTGCTCTTAAGGCTTCAAAGGATCAAATGAGTTTTCCCATGCATATCTAATTATCACTATATATACATCTTTTACTTTAATTCTCGAACTATCTCAATAACTTAAATTAATATAAAGTAGCCTACAAGGTGAAAGTCTGGACAGAATGCGTATGAGACATGGTCACAATTCACAAAGTTGGAAGCCCGTAACTATAAGCACAAATTCAAATTAAATAGATAAACACTATTATATTAAGTAAATACTTAATGGCACAATATTGAATTCAACCATTCAAGTTCATTTAACTACACACCATCTTCCCTTTTCCCCATTTTAATTTGAAGCTCAGAGATCACTCTCTGACCAATCTCTAAAACTCAACTCATCACATTCTCTCTCCACCATATCAACAATGGCAAAGAAGATGAGAGAAACAATCACCTCCTACATTCTCCCTATCCTCCTCCTCCTTCTCGCCGTCCAAACCAACGCGCACAATGTCACACGCCTCTTATCACACCACCCTTCTTTCTCCTCCTTCAACCATCTCCTAACCAAAACTTACCTCGCCGACGAAATCAACCGTAGAACCACCATAACCGTCTGCGCCGTCAACAACTCCGCCATGTCAGCATTAACCTCCAAAGGCTACACAATCTCAACACTCAAACACATCCTCTCCCTCCACGTCCTCCTCGACTACTTCGACGCCAAGAAACTCCAACAGATCGGCGGCGGCTCAGCTCTCGCCGCCACTCTCTTCCAAGCCACCGGAGATGCTCCGGAAACTACAGGATTCGTCAATATAACGATCCTGAGAGACGGCACGGTCGGCTTACGTCCCGACGGCGGTAATCTTTCTTCCTTCTTCGTCAAGTCTATTGAAGAAGTTCCGTACAACATCTCCATTATACAGATAAACAGAATCTTACCGTCTGACACTGCGTCAGCACCTACTCGGGATCCAGAGGAGATGAATATCACCGGAATAATGTTGGCTCGTGGCTGTAAAGTGTTTGCCGAGACTCTTCTGTCTAGCCACAGAGCTTCAATAACCTATCAGGTGCTCTTATTAAACCCTGATGAATAATTAGCTACACGTGATTAGAAAATAATAATTCAGTAATTAATCAACAGATGCATGTTACATTATAGGACTAGGCAAAATATCTGTAAATTTCGATTATCTGATTCGATTTCATTCGAACCAAAAAAATCCGAATATCCATAACACTTTGAACCAAAACAAATACTGAAAAATGAAATAAACCCCAAATATTAAAAAATTTAGGAAAGAATATCGATCCGACCCGTTATATGCATATATATAAATATATTTATATATATATATATTATATTTATATAAATTATATAAATAGTATATCTTATCTAAGTCTTATAAAAAGTTATATACTAAATTTATTATATTAGTAATTATAATTATTTTTAAAAATATTTTTTTTATTTTTGTGATAAAATTAATATTTTATGTTTTATTTAAATTTTTTATTTTTATTGTATTTTTTACGGATCAAATCGAATATTCAGTTAAAAAGATAAAAAAAATTGGATATCTAAAACATTGAATATCTAAATGATCACAGACTGAATTAAATTGAATAATTGATTATTCAGGCAAAATATATCAAATCATGAATACTTTCAAAAATTCAGATACTTGCTTTGTGCCACCCCTTGCTGTTGTATGTAGAAATTAAATATTCAAATTGACGTTCGTACTAACATTACTAAAACCCTGACTAATGAAGTGACAGATGCATTGTATAAATTCATAAATTAAATGAAACGAAAAAGACTAAGGTAGTTGCACTAAAACCCTGATTAGTGTAAGTAGTTATTTTAATTTGAAACTATACTAATTATCGTATGAATTTCCGTTGTTATGTTAATCAGATAATATGCATGTGGTTGTATAAATGCAGAAATGAAATTAAACGAAAAAGTTTAACGTACTTGCAACCCTGATTAGTGATAGTAGTTACTCTAAATAGAAACTATACTAATTATCGTACTAATTTCCGTTGTTAAGTTAAATAATATGCATGTGCATGGTATTGGTTGTATAAATGCAGAAATTAAATTAAACGAAAAAGACTAAGGTAGTTGCACGAACTCAACCTTGATTAGTGATAGTAGTTACTCTAATTAGAAACTATACTAGTTACCGTATTAATTTCCGTTGTTAAGTTAATCAGATAATAGGCAGGTGGTTGTTCTGTTGGCTTGTAACAAAAAAAAAAGGTCAAAAGGTTTTAGAGTGTTAGGTAACCAATGTATATAGTCAAACATATCGACTTAATAACCTCAATTATCTGAACATTATACCTAATCTAAGATCTTTAAACTCAAATTAAAACGGGTACCTTATAATTATGAAAAGAGCAGTAAATATTTTTATTAATTATTATAAAAAATTATACTATAGGTTTATAATTTTCCAAGTCATTTTTTGAAATTTCAAATAAGGACTACTAACACTGCAGTAATTATCGAGAGATTCAATTGCTTTTTTTGTGTGTGGATTGTGTTAATGATGTAACAGGAGAGTGTACAAGGACTAGGAGGCATGACAGTGTTCTGTCCAGGAGATGACGCCATGGAAAGATTCTTGCCGAAATACAAGAAGTTGACCGCTCCAAAGAAAGAAGCTTTCCTCCAGTTCCTCGCTGTCCCGACTTACTACTCAATGACGATGCTCAAAACCAACAATGGTCCAATGAACACACTTGCCACATATGGAGCAAACAAGTTCCAGCTCACTGTACAGAACGATGGAGATAAAGTTAACCTCAAGACAAGGATTAACATTGTCCAGATCGTTGACACTCTGATCGACGAGCAGCCATTGAGTATTTATAGGACAGATGAGGTTTTATTACCTAAAGAGCTGTTTAAGGCTTCGGCTGTTGAAGCTTCTCCTCCGGCACCGGAGGATGGTGATGTTGCGGATTGTCAAAAACCGTCTAAAGGGAAAGCGAATGGGAAGAAGAAGAAGGCTGCCCCGTCGCCTGATGATTCTCTTGGTGAGTCGGATTCGCCTGCAGAAGGGCCTGATGGAGAGGCCGATGATGTGACTGCTGATGAGGCCAGTGGTGCAGTTAGGATCGTTGGTGGAGCTAAGGCTGGTTTGGTGTTGGTTGTGAGCTTGCTCAACTTATTTGCTTCTTTTTGGCTTCTATAGGTTTCTTCTTGTTTCTCCTCTTATGGTTTTGAGGGAAAGTAAATGCGTGTATTTAATTTCCCCTGTTATTGTTTTTCTTAAAAAGTTTATGTTGGTGGCCTAATTAAACTAGTCGGTGATTTATATTTTGTGTTTTTTTCTCTTCACGTGTATGGTAACTTGGTTACTCGATGATTAATAGATGGTGTTGGGATGGACACTAGTTTCTAGTTTGTAGTTATTTCGGTATTTGCACTCCAGTTTCAACAATGGTAGATTTAATAGATCTACAATATAAAATAATTTTAGATAGCATTAAACGTAAATTACGTAATAATGTAAATAAAACCCGTATGAAGTGACAATCAATAATGTGTAAAGGGACTAAACTAAACTTACATCTTATATATTAAAACAGAAGTCATGACTTGATTTCATGTGTGATTTTTTTTTAAAATGAACTATTACTAGAAAATCATGTTACATTAACTCTCTAATAATCTTATCATTATTATATATCTTATGAAAAATCATATCTATGATAGCAAAGATATGCTTAACAATTTGGTTTTGGTAAATTACTTCACACCTTCCAATTTAGTCACGCAAAATATGTCAATAGGTATAAGTTTAGGAATCTTCTATTATTTATAAGGAAATATGTCAATAATAGTTAAATACATCCACAATATATTAACAAAAATTACAGATTCGTAATATGGAATATTTCTGTACCCTAACAAAATTTACACGCTATATATAATAGATAAATTTATTTCGATGTAAATTTTCAAAATTATATTGTTTTAAAAAAAGAAATTGTTTAAAAATTATTTTTAACAAAATTCTTTATAATATTAATTTATGAAGATATAAGTTTAGTTTTTAGCAAAAATTTCTTTGAAGTTTATATTATCTTTGCAAATTAAAGTATACTAATATTCAATCAAGCTCTATTTATATTAATTTATCTAAAAATGAAATACCAATCAATAAAATATAGAAGAAGAAACAAACACATGTTTGAAAAACATGTATAATATAAAAAATTTGAAACAATCTATTTGATTAAAACACATATTATATAATATTATTATGTTTAAAAAACATTTCCAATACATATCGTAAATATGTGATTATTATAATATATACCAATTTACAAGTGAAAGCAAAATGTTTATATAACTAACTATAAACGAAAACAAACACCCGCGCGGTTGCGCGGGTTAAAATCTAGTACTTCTTTTGTTTAACAAAATGATGTTTTGGTTGAATGTAGGAAAAGAAAAAACACGACACAAAAATTATATTTATCGATTTTTACATATTATATTAAAGAATCTAACCAATAAAACATACAAAATATAAATAGCATAGTAATTTAAAAAAAACATTACTTCTACCAACGTCTGCTTGAGCTACCCCTTGTTTTCTTGTCGTCCTAAATCGCATATATAATCACATGATGTAAAATTTTCCCCAAAGAAATCACATGATGCATACAATTAGTGAAAATAATTGAAGTATAGGTAGGAATGGAGACGTCAAGAAGACAAAATGAATCTCAGTGGCTTTTTAACTGAAGCATTTTGATGAAATTGACAATGAGCTATGCAATTGTTTTGATTGGCTCTATGATCATCACATTCAATCAAATCCTATAATGCTCTAACAATAACCACAACAAAGACGAAGACAATACAACATATGGTTACAAGCTGCTGAAATGTGTTCTAACAAGGTTGGTCAATTTGGCAGCTAAGAACACCTACTGATGGATGTGTGGTCTTGAGAAGTGAAGCTGGTCGAGCTACCATACTCGACATTTTAGTATAGCTCGGAGAATCCTCTTTCCCTGACGGGGTAAAGTAAGCACCGTTTAGCATTTCATCTCCTTCTGATTTCCAATTCCATTCCTTCCATTCATCGTCTCCATCTACACTCTCTCGCTTTGTAACCTGCGTATAGAGCATGCGAGGAGCTTATAAATGTCAAGTCATATCAGCATATGGGTTTGGTTTAGATTTTAGTACTGTTTGATTTCAAGTCATGAAATATTTTTTTTTTTAAAAAGTCATGAAATATTTTAAAAAGGAAGCAAAAGGTTGGTATATCTAAAATTTTAGTTAATCATGAATTAAATTGTATATATATTATTAGCTTAAAGACGCTCTTGTATTGTTTGGTCGACATGTAACGAACGTACACACCTCCTTTGTGAATTGATTATCCGAAGCTATGAAAACATTCCCTTGACTAAAGATGGTTGGATTAGCACTTCCACCAATTGCATACATCTTCCACTCTCTATAAATATTATTCACAATGTGAAAATATCCATGCCTGCACCTACACATACCATTAATAACTCAATGTCAACGCACATATTAATTTACATTTAATCTACATATTACAAGTTGTATTACCTGGGCATTCGCTGGACAAGTCCTTCACCAAAATAGTTAAAAGCGATCGAAACCCTCATGTCTCGATCACCCTCAAACTCATCACTATGACCCAAAAGCATGACTTCATTATGGTTCAACATGTAGTTATTCGAAATCGTTATATCTGTCGACCCACTCACTGCATCAATAAGCCCATCATGACAATTCTCTAACGTACAATGATCAATCCAAACATCTCGTGACTCAAATATCGAGATCCCATCTCCATCAGAATAGCCTCCCAAGGACCGTTTCGCCGGAACGCAATGGTGAATATAAATATTGTGTATGACTATATTACTTACTTTATACAAAGCTAAACACGGTCCATAAGCTATCTGCACGTTATTTCCTCTACCGTCTATGGTTTTGTATGAAGTCACTTGAATATCTTCTTTTAGTGTTATTACCATGTCTTTATCGAATATGATCCATAAAGGTTGGTCTTGTGTTGCGGCGTAACGTAATGTACCTGGAGATGGGTTTAGTGGATCCTCGTCTCCTGAATCTGTTACGGTGTAGAACTCCCCGGCTCTACCGCCTACTGAGTCGCGTCCGAATCCAACCGCGCAGTCCGCGAGGTTCTTGCGGTTGGAGTTCCACTTCTGGTCGCATCTCCAGCAATCGTCGATTGGATTTCCAGTTGCTGAGCAAGAAGATGTTGAGTTTGATGTCTTTGATGTTGACCATTGCCTTGGGGTTGACGGTTTAGGAAACGCAGACGCAAACGCGGAAGAAGCGGTTAAGAGAAACAAGAAAATGGTACATACAATAGACATTCTTATTTTTCTTGTCATAACAAAAGGTTAAGTAAACTAGATCATTTCACTATGTACAAGTGCAAAAATTATTCAGTATATATATGCAAGAGGCATTAAAATAAATACGGAGGTAAATATATTAGGTGAAAATTGAAAGACTTGGGTCCAAGAAGACATTACGCCGTTTTATATTGGTGGGTTTCATATTAAAAAGCAGTATTATAGATCAAAAACAAAACAATAACAGAGGCTATTTAATTGCTAGTTTGTGTTGGACATAAAAAAAAGTTTGTTTGCTACTTCACTTCATAGTGATAGAACTACGTGCCGTATTGGAAGGTCATTAACATGTGGTGTAGTTTACTTAAACAGCACCGCTTTTGTTGTCTACCAACCTACGTGGAGCGTTTTGTTCCATTATTTAAGAACTGCGTGTCATTATACGGTAGAAAGCCAACACACTGTTTATAATTAGGATTCCCTAATTATCCTCTAGTCATTTGAGCAAAACCAAAACTTTCGTTGGTTTTAGTTGGTTACTTCACTCGATAGAAACAGCACCGATTTTGTTGTCTACCAACCTTCGTGGAGCGTTTGGTTCCATCAAATTAAGGACTGCGTGCCATTACAAAAATTGAAAGACGACTCAGTGTTTAAAGTCACACTTCTCAAACAGCGTGGAGTTTAGTTTATTATCTTCCACCATTTGAGGAAAACCAAAACTCTGTTTAGTTTTGTGTGAAGTGAAAACACAGACAGACCCAGAGAGCAATGACATCTCATCTTCTTTCCCCATTACCATCTCTCACCTTCTTCCAAACCGGAAACTTAACCGGTCGTTCTCTACCTCTAAACCCTAACCTCCAATTCTCAAAACCTAGACTTTCAAAGGAAAGAGCCGCCACACTCGTCCTCCGATCCAAAGGCGACGACTCCGTCGACGCATCAGATCGGATAATCTCAGCGGTCTGTTACTTCTACCCGTTCTTCGATGGGATTCAGTACGGTAAATTCATCATCACGCAATACCAACCTTTCCAGATTCTCATCCAGCCTCTGTTTCCAGCCATCAAGGCCTTCAAGAGCTTCCCCTTCAATGGATTTCTCATCTTCATCGCTCTCTACTTCGTCGTCGTGAGGAACCCTAATTTCAGCAGGTACGTTAGGTTCAACACGATGCAGGCCATTGTGCTCGACGTGCTGTTGATTTTCCCGGATTTGCTTGAGAGGAGCTTTAATCCCAGAGATGGGTTTGGTCTAGATGTGGTGATGAGTTTGGACAGTACAGTGTTCCTCTTCTTGCTTGTCTGTTTAATCTATGGATTCTCTGCTTGCTTGTTTGGTCTGACCCCGAGGTTGCCCATTGTTGCTGATGCTGCTGATAGGCAAGTCCTTTGATTTGTAAAGAAAAAACTGCAACAACAAATAATATATGTATGTACACAGTGCTGTGATTGCACTTTCTCTGTATTGGATCTGTATCTTATAGTCAAAAGATAATGTAACTTTTTAATCTATTTAAAAGGGCGTTTGCAAAGGGAGGGAGAGATATCATATAACAATTTTCATATTTTGATTTGATTACCCTCATCACATATCTAAAAAGGACAAATGGCTACTGTTGGTTTATACATCTGCACTCATCTGCCTAATAAAAGGAACAAAGTTGTTCCAGTTCTCGACCCTAAAGATCTTCTCATTCAATCTGAAAAATGTAAAAGATCTTACAGTTTCCCCATTCGGTTGCACACAGTTCTCTCTTATTTGCCTTAGTCCCATCTGTTCCAGAATTCATCATTATATAAACGGTTAATAACCACCACTTTTTGTTTCGACAACATCGTATAGGATTATTAGATTGTGCAAATCTCTCACCTGATCAAATCTTTCGCTTGTGTTTCTACCAGTCACTTGTATTGTCCTCTTCTTCGAAACATCGTGTATCTAGCACAAAAAGAGACAATGTTGGTTTGTTCATGTTCTTAAAGAATCCTTTAGTATCCCAATAGGAAGAAGCTAGTGTCGCAGCTCCGTAAGAAAACAGACTAGACAATTTTCATGTATGTGTCAATGACAGTAAAACAGTGAGCTGACCCGTCTAAATATAAATAACATAAAATCTTCATATGAACAGTATTGAGGTTTAGATCGAAACAAGTATACCTGTCTAAGCAATCCTTCAGGGCTGCAAAGATACTTCTCAGGTGTTTCACAGTCCGCCATATCTAAACAACTAGAATATATACGAAAGAATCATTTCGTTAGCAATACCAAACTTATGCCGCCTCTTTTAAAAAATCTGGTATACAGCAAAAGAAAACTTCAAAAAGAGGCTCTTACGGGATATGCAGAGCAGCCCCATGGCGAGACAAGACAGAAGCAACAGGATCATAACCATCCCTGAGTGCGGTGTTGTAGTAACCGGCAGTTAGTTCTGCGGGGTGTGAAGATGTCTTATACCACCAATAGATTCCTCCAATTTTTGCAACCAACATTACAGAGCTTTTCTCCTCTTGCTGTCCTCTCCGCAAAACATCGGCTGCTTTTGCGAGAATAGCATCAGCATGACAAATCAACTTCCCACTGTACCATTCCTACAACGAAAAGCAGTTCACTCTGTTATTTCGTGCTCAAGACTACCCAAGAATAGATCATAATAATGTGGATATTGTAAAAGCAGTATAATATGATACGAGAACATACTAGAAAGAAACGGCCATAGTCAGAGAGAAAACTATCATGGCCCTTTTCAAAGAAAGGCACACCAGATGGAAAGCTATTATAGCATCCGGCACTTGGAGGATCTCTGCTTCCCCATTGAGGTTTGCCTTCTTGAGATGCCACTGCCATTAAGTCGTCCATCCTAATCCGAGCAATATAGCTCACAATCTGTAAATGTGATTCGCCGGAAAGACTTTGAATTCAATAATTACTCACATGTACTTGTCATGGCACTGGAATTCACCGATACCAGGGAATTTCCATCTCCCATCTCCATAAGGATGTGCAGGATATCTGAAAAATACAGTGTAAGATAAATATATTGTAGCTATTGTGGCTTTATGATTGGTAATCTACATTAAGCAGGAAGTACCTAAGCTCCCCGGAAGGACCAAGACCGACACCTATTTCTTCAATCACATTTCCAAAATACGGTTCAAATTTTGTAGAAAAACTGAGCATAAAATCTTCATAGCACTGAACAGCGGTTCGACCACCAAACAAAGGTAGCTGATCGACTCCAAGTGTCAGATAGTCATTATTGGAGAATCCGTTTTTATCTCGATAATATATATCCTTATTGACATCTCCAATCTGGAAAAAAAAAGAAAAGAAAAAAGCAGCTGAGTGAAGCTAATTACTGGAGCAACAAGCATACGCACAAGTTCCTACCAAAGACATCACTCCCATTGACAATATAACCAAGCAAGCATCCAAGATTTATTTAACATAAATGTAACATCCTCCAAGGTATTACCCGGAAAAAAACCCTATCCGATTCTCCATCTTTTACCAAAGTCTTTGCTATGTATACAACTTACAAACCTCTCGGATCCAGAGTGGAAGATCGATGCCTCCTTTTCCACCAAACAAGTGCATATTCGAATGAAAACAAAGAGCAACATGCAACTTCAACCCTGCCTCAGAAACCAGCCTGAAGAGCTCTTCGTACAACGACCATTTAAACTCAAGAGGACAGAAACGCTCCACAATCCCCCACCAAACCTCAACAGCGACTCCATGAACACCAGCTAACTTGAGTGCCTTGAGAGAAACCGTTAAAGCCTTGAGCCTGAAACGATAACAGAACGTTACACTTGTCTTGTTCTGAAATGGTATCATACCAATACATACCATGTAAGGTAATGATAATGATATAACCTTTTAAATGATAGGGCAGCCAGAAGCATCGAATCCAAACGTATCAATAGGTATCATCACGTAAACAGGGACTTTCTTGTGCCTTGATGATACCGATACAAACGATCTTGATATCTCTCGAGCATCCATGCTGTATCATGATTCAATCAGCAAAAGACCTAAAGATTTCAAGAAACGAAATGTTCTTTTCAAGAAAGCGGGAAAGTGATGATACCTGAAGATTCGGCTGTTCCGGGAGACGGAACTCAGTTTTGTGATTAAACGACCGCGTTTTAAAGAGGGAACATAAGAGACGTTTCGGAAGAAGCTGTGATTCCTCCTCGTTCTCTGCTCGAGGAAGCAAGATTTCAAAGAGAATCCTCTGGGATGGAAGAAGTTGCCGCCGGGAACTCCGCGGCAGCCACATCCAACCTCCGTCATTTTCGTGTTTCTCTTTTTTTATTTTTCTTCGTCGGAGATATTTTTTCTGATGGTTGAGATGCGGAGGAAAAGAGACGGAGATGGAGTACCTGAAACGCAATTTTTATTTCCTTTTTAAATCAAAGAAGATTATTGAATTTCATAATTCATCTTTGGCCCTCTTCTTTTGTTTTCATTTTTCACCCATATATTTTTAACGTTTCTACAAAATTGACCCCTTTAGTATTCTATTCGCTTTTCATTTATACCCTCTGTAGGTTGTATGATATAAATCAGTGGTTACAATAAGTACAAAATATAGTGCGTAACATGAGATGAAACAAAATAATAGTATAAAACTGTAAATCCTATTACGCCTCTTATAATAGAATAAAATAATACGAGGACTTGAGTAGCATGTACTCAAACTATTGTACTAGATGGATAAAAGAGTTTATAAATATCCATTTTTTTTTTGTCAACAAATATCCATTGAATGACGCTTTTTGACAAAACATTTAAAAAAAGAAGAAGTTAAATTGTTGCTGACGTGGAAACATATCTCGTCCCGTAGTGGATAAGCATGTGAATTATCTATCCATTCGAAACAGATCCCATGCTACTCGACGTCCATCGTCACCAACTCTGCTTACCAGTTTTAGTCTGTTTCTGGTACACTAATCATCGCCTGTCACTTTCCTCTGAGCTCAATGTCGTTGAAACTCAGCACCCCGTTCCCAATTGTCGCGCCATCTCTGTTCCCAAATTCGAACCCAAGCGGAATTCGATTCTCCAGATGGGGCAACGTAAACGCGGAGCAGCGAAAAGTCGGTAGATCTCTCTCCCTCTCTCTCGCTCATAGTAGCAGAACGGATCAAATTCGTTGCGGGATAGCAGGAGGAGGTGGGTGGTTTTGGATTCCTTCAATTTACTTGTGATTTTCCGATTTAAAAGTGGTTGTTGTGTTTGTGGTAGGTGATGTGTTAGAAACGGGAGTGTGGTGGGACCTCAACACTTGTCCGGTTCCGGATGGTGTAGACCCTCGTTGTGTCCGTCCGTGTATAGTATCTGCGTTGGAGAAGCAGATTGGTCTTTCTTCAGTCAACGTCTATGCCATAGGAAACCTAGAATACATCTCTGCTGACCTCTTGAAAAAGATCTCTTCCTCTGGAATCGTTCTTATTCACGCCCCCTGCGGTAAAAATCAAAATCCATCCTCTTGATTTGTTTGTTTGTTTGTTTAGTCTCATGATCTGGCCGGCCTTCTTCTCTAGGTGGGAACGACTTATACAATTTGCTGGAAGACTGGTCTGAGGATACACATCCTCCGGGTTACGTAATGCTGATATCCCAAGATATAACGATGGTTGATCCTTACCTTTTTCGGGGTTTTGGATTCACTAATTTTGTTGTATATCCAAAACATAGTGAGCTACCTACCCTTGACCAACTCAAAGATGAGAAAGTGTTTGCCAAAGAGTTTGTCTGGGAAACTTTGTTGAGTGATAATTTCGATGAGTATGTCCGGGGAACTTTATTGAGTGACAACACATATGAGATGGTCGTCAAACCTCTCTGCATTTGCAACATATGCAATGATGTTTACCACACATGTGACGAAGCATGTGACCAGTTCATCACTCATCTCAAGAGTGAAGAACACATAAACGAGGTAATTAAGCAGGCAGCATCCTCAGCTTTTTTTTTTTTATCATTTCATTTTTTTTGTAAATTTTTTCATGTACCTGTGTTTGCGTGTGTGCAGTTGTTTAATTATGTGCCCATCGGCTGCAAAGATAAGCCTAAACATTTTTGCGAAGTTTGCAATTATCCCGCCTACGACGAATATAACCTGTTCCTCCATAACCAAAGTGAAGAACATAATCGCAAGGTAAGCGCAACACACTCTCTTAATTAGCTTGCAATCATTGTTACATATTTTAACAACTCTATATCAGTAAAATTTGATGATCCCATTTTGGTTTGTTTTCAAGCTGGTTGAGAAACAGGCTCAAGAAGAGGAGGATTGTGAGAGCAGGAAGAGAAATCCACAAGTGGATCTCTTTAACGAGGAGCCATCTCTTGAACGAGGCAAACATGAAGACGCAGCCTAAGGAAGAAGACGAAGAAGCTAGAGTGCGTCCATCCCCATGGGGCTTTGTGTTAAAAAGTTTACTAAATAATGGAGTACTTATTTATTTATTTATTATTATTATTATTATGACTAGGTAAGGACCCCGTGCGATATCGTATGGAAACTCATTTTATAAAAATAAATATATTACATTTTATAACTTAATATTTTATATAAAATTGCATTATTTTTATTTTGTAAGATGTCTATTTTTCACAATATATATATTCATTTACAGATACTACTATCAATTCATGTTTATCTATAAGTTTAGATTTTAATTATAATACAAATATATCAATACCAACTATGACATATATCAATACCAACTATATCTTATTATAAGTTTAGGTAAGTTATTCTGAAATTACGAATAAATGCAACCAACTTAGATTAAAAAAAACTCCACACCAAACATAATATTATAGACCTAAAATCTTATTAAAAACTATATTATAAAAATTATTGTCCAACAAACTGAATTATCTGAATATATTTGGAAATATATTACATTTTTAAACATCGTTTTTAAGATATATATGAAATTAAATAAAAACAACATTTTATAAACATATGAATTTTTTGAATGCAGAAATATATTACATTTTGACAACTTCTTAAAAATTTACTTAATTTCTAGGATGAAGACAATACATCGTTATGAAAAAACACATTCTTAAACATTTTGATATTCTTTTAAAACAATACAATTTTATAGATAATAATATTTGTGAAATTTAATTATTAATAGTTATGTGTCACAACGCAGAGTTGTGTAGGTACGTTAGTGTAATCATATTTTTAGTAAACTTAATTTGTGAAAAATTAGTTGGTATAATACAGAAAATAACAAAAATAACATCCACTAAAATTTATGCACGTTGAAGATGAAAAGATACTATTTAAAATTTCAATAATTTTATTATTAATAATAATATAGAAATATTTTATACCTACTTTGGGTAAGAGACATATAAGTATCAAAAAATTTGATCAATTTTTTGTCTTTAGAGATAAGAGTTAGTCTAGGAAATGAACTCGCGCGATATCGTGCGGAAACTCGGTTTCGTAAAAAATGGATATGTCATACACATGGAATATGATATTAGTTGGCACAATGTATTATTTGTATAGCAGTACATTACTATGTTTCAGTGTGGTATAAGTGTGACTGTTAATACATTACTATATGTCAATTGTAAATAACAAATATTACTTTTATTTTTCAAATACTGTTAAATAGTTGCAAATAAATAAAAGCAGTGAAACACATGTAAACTTCAATATGATTATTCATTTATATTAGTAAGGTAACTTATAACGAAAAATATGACAACATGATTTGTATTCAACCATGAAAGAAGACATGTATTGTCGAAAACATGGTAACATTAATAAATCTTCTTTGTCAACATAGTCCTCTTGGCATATCACACACCTCTCACTTGATCCTTCATTATCTTTATCTTCTACACAGGAAATTTTTGTCAGTGAGTTAATTGCATCCAAAGAAGCTGGTCTTTGTTGCACATTCTCCAAATTAAAAGAACAACAATTGCTTGTTCTTCCTACCTACAGTTAGAGCTTTCTTCATGAACTTCTAATATCAAAGATACTGTAATGATTTTTGTAGGTGCATATTCAAAAGATTGAATAGCTTGTGAGGTAACCAGAATAAGATTCTCAGAAATGTATTTGTTGCCTCTAATCCAATTCATTCGTCATGTAATGAATGGTTAAATTCCTCTTTATGTAAGGTATCACCTTCTTCCATTAAATCTTTTACTTTAAATGTAAATGATTTTAACAATGGTATTGTAGCGTAGGTGTGGTAGATTTTACAGATTATAAAAAATATATCGCTAACAGGACCAAATAAAGGTTCGTCAACACTTACACTATAAGAAGATGTTATATTGTTCGTCATATTAACTGCAAAATACAAAGGTCTAATTAATTAAGATGATAAAATATATTCCACTCCGTTTCTTTTTATAAGATGTTTTGGTTGACTGCACGGAGATTAAGATATTTACATTCTTTTTAAAAGTATTTTTAATGATATACTTTTAAAATCATTCAACCAATTATAAATAAGACTGAAATTTTTTATTGGTTGAACAGTTTTCAATAAAGTTAAAATTAACCTTAAAACTTCAAAACATACCTTAAAATCTCAAAACATCTTATATTTTGAAACAACATAAACTTTCTAAAACATCTTACAAAAAGAAACGGAGGGATTGAATCGTAAGGATCGACAAAAGATGGTGTTACGTTTGGTTACTAATGCTTATTAACTACTCTCATATTCACAAAGAAATGAAATATAGGACTTAAACTAATATAATTCTGTTTTTATGAAAAGACCCATGTTTTAATATCAATTGTATTTTTTATTATTAATCTATTTTTGATATTAAAGTAATATAAATTTGTTTTTAAGTACTTTTTAAACTATTCTCCTTTAAAACAAACAATTATTTTGTGATGAAAATATGCAACGTTTAAAATAATATAGTTTAATTTTTTAAGAGAATATACAAAATAAATATTAAATATTAAAAATTAATATATATGGTATAACATAGAGTAATATATATATTGTGTTCAGTTTATATATTATGTTCGTAATATATATATATATATGTATATATATATATTTTAAAACTGAACTAATATAAGTTTAAACACAATATAAGGGTTTCAGTATAATAAAATTTACGCAATTTAAACTATTTACTATAATTATTTTCTGATTATATATAAGAGATAATTTGCTCCAACACCATAATTGGAGCTAATATCAGAGAAATGTCCATGATTTGACATAAAAACAAGTTTTTATACAATTATGATTTGGTTTGACACTGAAGCCCTCTGACACTCTCTTTCTTCTCCTCTCTTATACCTTCTTTTCATTTCTCTCATTGTTTTCTTATTATACTTTTTTTTTCTTCAACATTTTTTTTCATCCAAATAATTTTTATTCCTTAAAAACTAATTGACACACAAAACAAAATAATTTGTATTCGTTAAAAACTAATTAACCACGAAACAAAGTATTGATTTGTTTAATTACACCACAGATTGAGAAAATCAACATTGCAATATCTTTAAAATCACCGAATGTTAACAAATGTGTTATCTGTAACAAATAATGTAATAGATGTATTAGCTGTTAACAAATACACGTACCAGAGGTGTTAGCTGTTAATAAATATTGTAGATCTTAACAGAAGTGTTAGTTGTTAACAAATACATGTAACATTTGTGTTAACATAATTGTTAGCTGCTAATAAAAGTTGTAAATGTTAACAGAATTGTTAGGTATTAACTGTTAACAAATACATAATGTAGAATTTTTAATTTTTCTATCACAATGAGTAAATATAAAAAATCAAAATTATTCTTTAAAACCACATAGGAAATTGTTTACGTCATCTCAAAAACTGTTTTGTTTGGTGACTTTTCTCCTGAATCGGCTCCTTCTCAAGCGATACAACCCTTGACATCTAAAAACTGTTTTGTTTGGCAACTTTTCCCCTGAGTCGTTGTTTGGTGACTTTTCTCCTGAATCGGCTCCTTCTCAAGCGATACAACCCTTGACATCTAAAAACTGTTTTGTTTGGCAACTTTTCCCCTGAGTCGTCTCCTTATCAAACAACACAACCCTTAATGACGTCTCTAACAATCTATATCTATATTGTTTTCAAGTTTATCACCTCATTCATCTATTGTACGGTTTCACCTTTCCACCCCCACAACCTCAGAATAGCTTTCAACGTAATCGCCTTTGTATACCATTAATGTGAGTCGCTCTATCCCCAATTCAAGAAAGTTTGTGTCTCATATCTGGGTTACTGTATGTCTGTTTGATTTTTTTTGCCTCTTTTAGTTTTGCTTACCTTTCTCCTTTTTGTCATATACTTATTTGTCTCTGCAATTTTATTTTCTCCACTATCGCCACTTGCTTGGTTATCTTAGGGAAAGGTATCAATCGCGTGGCTGTTTTGTTTTTCAAGAGAATTTGCTCTCTATTTCAGATTTTTTAGATTGCTTAGGAGGAGATGGACTAAATTGTGTTTGTTTTGGGCGATGAATAATCTCTCTTCACGTCTTTACTGTCTACTCCAAATAATTACTTTCTTATTAGTTGGTACATGATGTTTCTTCCAAGAGAACTGATCCGAGAGTCATGAAAAGCATCAGTGTAAGTTGTTGTTCTCTTGATTAAATGACCATTCTCTGTTTACAAATCGTATGTATATAGCTAACTATATCAGCTTTCTATCTTTATTTGCTTTACTGCATTTTCTGTTTGTGATTCCTTTGGAGGATCTATTAAACATAAGTGTGAAATATACCTTGACTATTCATCTAAGTATCATTTAAGGGATATAAAATTATCTTGCCTTAAATGATTTACGTCATCCGCTAAATTGTTATGCGAACTCTTTGAAACAATACATACCAGATACAACAGACGTATCTTTCATAATCCTATAATTTGAAAAAGAAAGAATGGCTGAGATTATCACATCTTTTAATCTAACGGTTGACCATTGTTTTGACAAAACAAAACAGTAAATATTTTAATGTTGGTGTGTTAGTGAATTTGAAGGTATCATATATATATAAGCTGATCTTTTATATTTTCGCAAAAAAATTATCTTAATATTTATTTAAAAAATGAGTTTCCGTGCGATATCGCACGGATTCCTTACCTAGTATATATCAAAGACAAACTCAGAAAACTATCAATATCATAGGCAGAAGAAGAGACAAACTATTTGAAATGACCAAGTCCAAATAATGTAGGCTTTGAAAATACTTTATACTTGGAAAGAATTATAGCAGCATTTCCTAGCTTCTGCACTTAAAAAATTGTTATTACAAATCATGCAGCAAAAGTTGTGTAAGTTGGGCTAGATTCATGCTCTGTGCCTCGAACATGCAGCAAAAGTTGTGTAAGTTGGGCTTAGATTCATGCTTTGTGCCTAAAATCATTCAGCTAAATGAACGAAACTCAGATAACCTGTTGGATTCTTTCATGACTCCTTCCATTGAATCAATTAGCTTCACACGGCCAGCACAAGTACCAATCACGTCTTGTAACTGCTAGGAATGAAAGCTCTATCTAGATCACCAAGAGATATACTAAAAGGAGAAAACAGAAACGTGATTCAACTTAGTATGAACCTAGCCTCTCTTCACGAGAAGCACATGATATCTAAAAGGCACAAAATAATTTATATAATTTTTAATATTTTTATATAACAAACTTAGTTATTATTAAATATACATCTTAATATATTATTTAAATATTTTCAAAATAAGATATCAAAGGATATTACCAAATATCTTTTTCTACTGACAAAATATTTTAATATATTTAATTTAAAATATAGATATTTATTGTTTTAATATTAATTTTAATAATAGAAATTCGTAATTACTGTAAATTTTATTACAAATAAATATGAATTCATTTTAATTTATAAATAAAAGACCATTTCTATAATGTTTATATATATAAATACATAATCCATACTTAATTACATTATTACAATAATTTAATTACTACTATTTTATAAATTACAAATTAAAATAATTACATATGAATGTTAACATATATTAATACAGTTTACAACATATTTCAATTTATTTATGGAAATTAAAATAAAATATTTAGAAGCATAAATTTTTTTTTATTTAACAAAATAGCTAAATTATTATATTAACATATAAATTCGTATAATTTCATTTAAAATAAAATACTAAATTTAGTGGACATTAATATTATTTGATTATATACTATATTGAATTAATATATTATGATTTACAGTTACAGGTTTTTGCAGTTTATTTCATAAAAATGTAAATATTTATCAAATATGAGACGGGTTAAACGCCATATAATTAATTTCTATTACAAGAAATATTTATTTAATATTATAACAAAATGAACTTGACAAAAATAAGAAATAGAAAAATAAAGTTACATTATAAGTACAGATCATGTTAGAATATAACACAACAGTTATGTTTCTAATTTGTATCATATCCTAAAATCTATAAAGTAATCATATATCATTTGTATCTGGATTATATTAGTTTGGTTCAGGTATATCAGAAATTAAGTCCTAAGTTTAAAAGCAAAACATAAGAAGTAGAATTAGATATTTGAAACATTTAATTTAATTTTAAATACTTATTCTAGATAGCATTACAAAATAAATATAGAATTGAAGATTTTAAGTACATATTTTTGTTTCAAATATTTATACTTATGATTAAATCCAGACATTCAGATCGGTTTTTAAGTTTTTTGTATTTTTGGTTTTTGGTTACCCCTTCAAGTTTGGCTAATAATACTTCGGATGTGGATATGTTTTGTACCACTCTAAAAGACCCAATTTCTTACATTTCAGACTGAGTACAGTTCGAACTGTTATTTTGGTTCAATTCATACTTTGGATTACAAATTTTATACTTAAACCTACTTTAAATATAGACAAATACGATTATATAAAATTTTCATCAAAAAATTATTCCGCGCTTGATAAGCGCGGATTAAAATCTAGTTTGACTTAAAACTCAAAACTTGAAATCGATGACTACATATAAAGACTCAAAAAATTCTTTCAAAAGTTACAATTTTTCAATTTACTCAGTTTTTTATCATGAAAAGTCACAATTTTTTAAAATACATCTTTCTAAAATATATATATTTCTTCAATAGACACATCCTTAAAAAAATAAACATATTCTTTCAAATTAACTAATTAATGAAAAGACACATTGTTTTTTTTTTAAAAAAGTCTTTAAATTTAAGGAGGATGCACAACCTTTGGTAAAAAAAATTCTTCAAAAGACACATTGTTTGAAAATAAATTTAAAATTTAAATTAAAAAAAATTACTTTCAAATTAATGGGAATTCACAATCTTTAGAATTAATGAGGATTGTTATTATTAATAGATTATGCTGGATAGTTTGTTCTCCTACCACCTAAATACATATTTCCAAGTCTGGTTTAGGGCTGTGCATAATATCCGTATACGAAGTACTGACCGGAAACCAACTTTAAAATCAGAATACCGAATCCGATCGGTTATGGTTTGAATATCCGAAAAGGTCATTTTTCAAATCCAAAAAACTAAAACCGAATCTGCCCCGTACCGAGAACCTAATGAGTATCTGAAGATATCCAAACATATAAATATATCGGAAAATAATATTTATAATTATACCTTTACTAATAGTAATACCTAAAATTAAAATTATATATCAAAGATATTAGTTATTTTGGAAATTTATAGATATAAGCTGATGTTTTGGATACAAAATACCCAAATAACATTGTAGCTATGATTACTTTTGAACAAACAAATAACGAATTTGAATAGTATATATTGAATATTTTTAGGATTTTAGTTACTTTTAGATAAATTTGAGTAGTTTAGATATAAAATATCCGAATAAAATTGAGTACTTTGGTTACTTCGGTTAAAACCCGAACTCACCCAGAACCGGGAGGACCTGATTCGAACCCGATTTGATTTTTTGTAATATCCGAATAGGACCATTTTTCAAAACCCGAAAAAACCATGGTCGTACTCATACCCGAAAGGATACCCGAACGTCTAGACCTTGTCTGGTTTGCTTTTTTTTTTAATATATATAATTAATACATGACAAGATTTATTCGTATGTGAAATACATGACAAGATTTTCGGTTAGTTAAGTTTTATAGTTTGACATAGTAGTACATTAGGTGTTTGTTTTATAATTTATGGTGTCGCTTGTGTATCTACAAGGACATATTTCTTAAAAGGTTGTTTGAGATAAATAGTGTGCGGTATTATATATCCTCAAATTTTGTTCATGGGAAATGGAATTTTTTTGCTGTGTTATGTACATTTCAGTATGAGAACATACGGCTACCAAGGGGCAAGGGTTTATTAAGATAAGTCGTAAGGTGGAATAGTAGTACCTACTCTCAGCTGTTACTTGTGATGGAGATGGAAACACTCAAACCATGCATGAACATACATGCAACAAATCTAAAGATAAGTAATTGATTACTCCTATCAATTATAGGGTACGAGACATATATCTTAGATAGAATTGTGTAAAAGTAAAATCATTTGGAGATGATAGAATGGAAAGTGTAGGTATTCCCAATATCCCATTTACGAAGCTGAGAAAGGGAATCAGAAGGCTACTTGGTCTACTGTCGACCAACTTGTTTGATTAATTGGTTACAATCATCTATGTCTCGAGCAGCATCAGTTAGTAACCCGTACACAGAACAAGTTCTTGATCTAGCGAGTTGTGGTTTTTTAAAGAACTAAAGTCCAAGACTATATTCAAACCCATTACCTAGGTAAATATGTCTAGTGTCATTGTGTCAATTTAACTTGGCTGCTGTGAAGCCTTCCTCAACCATTTTATTAAATCAAATATCTAGTTTTGGTGACAACTTAAATCTTCTTCCTTTTCATTTTCTTTTGCATTTTAAAGAAGTCCATTGAGCCATGTCTTTGGTTAGTACGTTTCTGTGTCAATAAGAACACTCTATCTTGTTTTGAAACTTTTTTTTTTGAGAAAGATCTTGTCTTGAAACTTCTGTCATGGTTTTGGCAAAACTGCAAGTTTATGTTCGCGTCTGTGATTTGGTTATAAGAAAGTATCTCATAAATACGAATGGCTATACGAAGGAACATATATGCAACTAGTAGTAGTAAAACTATTACATAAACCTCCTTTCTTTGCCAAGGGTGTGTGCCACTTGATTTGCTTCACGACGTTGACATATGTAAATCCCAAAACTATCAAGGACATTTCATTGCCGAAATCCACAAAACAAAAGTTAATATCGCCTATCAACTTCTCAAGACAGTACTATTGATTGATACAAAAAAAAAAGTGACAAACTAAATATCAAAACGAAGAATCTAATAACCGACAAAAATGCTAAAATTTTCTCCTATAGAACCAAAGTGGCACACAAGATTAGCAAAGCGCATAGAACATCTTGTTGAACAGATTCAGAAGCCGACTTATTCCCCGCAGGAACCTCAGCAGTCTCCGGTGCCAAGTCTGCCGTCGTCGGTGCAGAACTACTCACCGGGCCACGTCCATATGGGAATATTTCCGGCGCATTGGCTGGAGTGGAGGGACTAGACGGGATACCAGGGGTTGTTACCGGCGCTGAAATCTCCGGAGCATTGGCAGGCGATTCTATAGAAGCAGTAGGACTCGTCACTGGGGCAGAGATAGTTGGAGGGGAAGCAGGGTTATTCGCCGGAGTAGAGACTGGAGTCGTGGCGGTAGTGGGGGACGAAACAGGGGAATTCGCCGGTGCGAAAACAGGAGGTTTCAGAGGAGACGCGATGGATCGAGACAAAACAGGGGAGGTTGCTGGAGGAAAAACAGGGGATTTTAAAGGAGGTGCAGTGGTTGGTGAAGAAACAGGGGACTTCACAGGCGTTGTAATTGTCGGAGAGGGTCCAGGGGACGGAGCCGGAGCAAAAACAGGGGATTTCAAAGGCGTCGGAATGGTCCCAGAGGACCTAGGGGAAGTCACCGGAGAAAAAACAGGGGACTTAGATGGAGACAGAACAGGGGATTTCACAGGAGGTGCAATAGTCTGAGAGTTTCCAGGGGAAGTCGCCGGAGAAAAAACAGAGGATTTCGGTGAAGCTACAATATTCGGAGAGAAAACAGGAGACTTTACCGGAGAAGAGCGAGGGGATTTCACAGGAGTCGGAGAGGAAACAGGGGAACTCGTCGGCGTAAAAACAATAGCTTTCATAGGAGTCTCAGTTGTCGGAGAGAAACCTGGAGACGTCGCAGGTGTAATCGGAAATTGTGCCGGGGGAAGTAAAGGAGGCGCTTGAGAGAAAGTCGGAGACTTCGCTGGAGAATAACTGTGATGTGATTTCGCAGGGACGTGCACCGGAGGACTCGACAGAGGAGATTGTTTCTCAGCGAGTCTCGGCGACTGAACAGGTGCATTGTCGGCTTGTACATTACCGGAAATAGAAAGTATGAAAACAATTAAAGAAAGTACGACAAAACGATTCATCGTTTTCTTTTGTCTTCGTCTCTGAGAAAAAAAAATAAAGAAATATGAGTGTGTTCGAAACTAATAAATGGATTTTTATAAGAAATATAATTTTCTTTAGGACACGAAAAGGTGTGAATTGTTTGTTATACCCGAGATATATGACCGTTGGAGGCGCCTGTAAGTTGACCGGCTGTTGTAAGTGTAGTAGCCGTTAACCGGAAGAGGGCAACCGGTTACTATTTGGCGACAGTAAGTTTAACTAAGAGAAACGTAGACTACGTGACGTTTATTATGTTTCGAAAGGCAGAACGACACGTAGTTTTACATTTGTCCTATAAATAGACCCATTAACAAGCCTAGCGCTCCAAGCGATGTCACTAGACAATCCGGACATGACACATGCCCTTTCCTTTGAGGGACCGGACAACATCATCACAAACCCACCTCTTTGCCTCACAATAAATAATACATCAATACACAACCGAAAGGTGATTGGAATAATGGCAGTGAATGGTAGACACAATGGAAAAATGCATACAGAATTTTCTTCAATTTTGAAGAAAAAATCTCTTATATATTAAAATTGGAGCATATTTTTAAGAATAAACTTTGTCTTCAAGTGTGATTTACAAAAGTGTCATTTACACGTGACACAGCTCTACAATCACTCTCATCTTTTTTAGTTAAAAACCATAATTCACTAGATTAATTACTATTTTTACCATTGGTCAAAATCTACCTAAACTAACTCATTATTGATATTAACATGACATATATTTAATTATTATCATGAAATATAATAGTTTTGTATCCTAGTATTATACTATGGCCTGGTCCGGATTCTTTATATTATAATCATATTAGTAATATATAATCTTCTAGACTATAGTAATATGTATACAAATTTTTCATATTACTAATAATATGTCATCATATAGATATTCAAATCATATTTCGATTTTCGCACCAAATTTCATTTTGACTATAGTTGTAATTACGATTTATATATAGAAAATAACAGATTTTGTACCGAATTTCAATTTGATTATATTAGGAATTTTATCGATAACCATGCAGTATATAAAGCCATATTATATACACACCATGATTATATAATTATATACGTATAATACGAACTTGTATAGAAACGAAATTATAATTATGGTATACAAAAATAGGGTTAATTTTCAAAGAGAAAATTACTAGAATGATACACAAAACCTTGTATATGACTAGAATAGTATATATTTTTTAAAAATTACTAGAATGTTTTTAGACTCCTAGTAAATTACAATAAACACCCTTGTTTAATTTTGTTACTATTGATACAAATTTTAATTATTAAATCCACATCATAATTTGACAATCCACGTCACTAACTAATTTGTCTCATCAGTTACACTGGAAAATCAACAGTCCCATATCTCCGGTGAACAAAAAAAAAGTCTTAATGTTACATTCTTCTCCGTCACAACTCTCGTTAAACCCTAACCGATTACGAAATCCCGAAATCATCTCCGTCACAACTAATACTATCGTTTCAAACAGTGTTTCCGATATCTTAAATCATCTTCGTCGACCTCGTTAAACCCTAACCGTCTTCGATATCATCTTCGTCGACATCCTCTTCTCCGCAAAAGTTTCGACGTAATCGTATCTACGACTTCATCTTCTCATCTTCTCTGGTATGTTGTGCCTGAGTTTGATTTACGTCGTGTCTGAGTTATAGATTATGTTGTTACTGAGTTATTGTATAGTGTGGCTGAGTTGAGTTTGATTTATGAAGTGGCTGAGTTATTGATTATGATCCGACTGAGTTATTGATTATGTTTTGGCTGAGTTATTGATTACTGTAGCTGAGTTA